ACTCTCCCTTCTGAACCATACCAGGCCCAAGCACTTAATTGGGGGATGGGGGGCTGGGCATGTTGCTAAGGACAAAATTTGGAAACCTCTTAAAAGGTGGGGAGGCCCCAAAAATCCACCCCTGCACATGCAGACAAAAGAACTACATAGGACTCCAATTCACTCACAAAAAAATTACAATAGTAAATAAACACACACAAACAGTTGACACGTTCTTTATTAAAAAATCTCCGAACTGGATGAACTAAACATACAGAGCATGATTTACTAAAGCTGGTCCACAGAGAATCTGGTGCAGCTGTGAATAGTAGCCAATCAGCTTCTAACTTCAGATTGTTCAGTTAATCTTTGACAATAAAACCAAGAAGTTGATTGGTTACTATTCACAGCTGCACCAGATTCTGCGAGCACCAGTTTTAGTAAATCCCCCCTCATAATATCTATAATTATGATGGTTACCAGATCCCCAGATCAAGTGGATCTCCTGATCTCAGGTATTGGCTATTACACTTATTCTTGTACAGTATATTGAAGCAGAAAACCTGGCATATTGTGGCCTCTGATCATCAATTCATTCTTCTTTTTATAAAACAATTTGATCTGCAGTAATGAATGACCATGGACCTTTTGTGTGTAGTATAGTATATAGTATAGTTTCTAACATGTAATATGGTGTTGGTTTTCTATATGGCTTTATTTTTTTCTGTATTTTTCAGGCTTTGCTTTGTATATGTAATACAAAAAATATTTTAAAAAAAGCCTGGACAGACAAATATACAAATCCTTTGGAAAATTAAACAACCTTATTTGTATGTCATCTGTGTTTTATCTGATTGCCTGGAGTTTATATTTAATGTGCTTGATTAATTTTACCTTTGTTATAGCTGAAATTTAATTTAAAAGTAACACATGGATTGAAGCAAATTTAAAAAAAAAAAAAATAATAATAATAATAATAATAAAAAAGCAAAACCTTTTTTTTGCTATTGTAAAGAGGAATGAGAGAAGTTATTTTTTAAAATCTAGAAATAATGAAGTTGGGAAAAGGGAATTACTACCACAGAAAGGTATAGTATGAGTGAGGAGATAAGTGGTGTGAGTGCTGAAAAACCTGAGTGATTTCTGGAGTGAGAGATGTGTGAGCATGACAGTGGCATGTGGTTCTCTTTTTGGAGACATTAGGGGTCCATTAGACTCCCAACATCACCTCTTCCCTTCACTGCACAAATAAAGCACAGATTGCACTTGATTAGCTACAGTAACCGGTGTTCCCCAAGATCTTCTCGCACAACATGCTGAGACATTTCCCTTTAGTCCCAGGCACCCTAGAGGAACAGGAGAGCCTGGGAACCACCTCACTGCACCCTGTCTCCATTGTACCCTAAAAAGGTCTCTGCTCTGTGATCTAGTGCTGGTCCTCTCCTTGGTTAAATGACACCCAGAACAATTCAATCCAGTCCTCTAAACTTAGGGCAGCAAGGACCTATTCCCTGGAGAATGCTGAAAATAACTGCACCACTTAGTTATGTGGTGCAGTTCTCTGCAATGTTTAGGATCCACCTAGCATTGGAGGACAAGGAGAAGGATCTGTAAAAAATCATGCAACCAGACTAAAGTACCTTGTAAAAAAAAATACAATGAAAAATAAATAAATGTAGTAAGAAAGGTCAGGAAGCAAATGAGAAGAAATCCAAAATTTGTCTGTAAGCATGGATTTAACCAATTGTTTGCATTAGTTTTTGTGTTTATAACTGAAAATGCTGACATGCAGCTAACTTCTGCTTTATAAAGGTCTTCTGCACTTGATAAAAGTATGGTATTTTGAATCCTGTTTCAACAATCACCACCATAAACTGTCAGTCTCTCTGGTGTCATCTTGATGGTTTTCATCTTGGTTGTGCCTTTTTTTTATATAGTGGTCACTGACTGATTCTTTTTAATGTGAGGGAACCATGGATATCTTGTCAACCAGATTTAAACCTCTGCTTCCAAAGAAAAAGAATGTACAAAGAATCACAGCTATTATACCTACACGATGATCTCAATTATTTACATCTGTTATGTAAGATTCCTATATGTCATTAGGAAGTTTAAAAATAATAATGCGGATTAAATTACAAATGGAATTCATAGGAAGTGGGAGTTTGAGAATTTAATGAGACCTCACCAGAAAATAAATTAGGTATATTTATATGTAGTGTCTTGAACATATACAGTAAATGTCCAGTTTCTAAAATGCATACACTATTCTAACAATTTGCCTAGAAAAAAAAATGACTGTAAATCATGACATTGCAAAGGTTCCATTGCAGAACTGAATTACATATAATCATAGATCAGAGAAGAAGGATAGTTTGTGAAGTTCTTATGTGCTTATAACTGAGGTTAAGGGAGAGAGGGAAGAAGGTGCCACTAAGTGCAGCATGGTAAAAACTTTAATGACAAACAGTAAAAATGCACTCACAGGAGAAAACAAAGATAAAGCATATCTGCATATCCAGAAAGGGGGTCTCTCTTCTCCATCCCGTAGGGAGCCGCCAGTAAAAAAAGGCCAATTGTAGTGCTGGAAGTGAAGTCCCGGGAGCAGGGGCGGACGGACAACTCATGGGGCCCCTGGGCAGTAGGGGATCATGGGGCCCCTGTGTCCTCATCCACACTCAAACCACACCCAAAAAAGCCTATGAAAGGTACTAGGGGTATCTCACGGGGCCCCCTACTGACCCTGGGCCCTCCAGCAGTGCCCGAGTGCCCAAATGGTCAGTCCACCCCTGTCCGGGAGGCAATCTGATGTGGAGCAGAAAGCCACTCTGCTGACCAGCGTGGAACACACGGGCAGATGTGATGTCATCAGAGGAACACAGAGGACCAGAAGGGGATAGAAGCAATCACAGGTTTCGTGCTCGGAGCCTCTAGCTCCATTGTAGTCTATAGTATCAATTGTACAGATCTGGCTCACTCTGCAGGATGGCAGCCGCTGTTTAATCCCCAAGTATATTAACCACTTGCCTACCAGGCACTTTTACCCCCTTCCTGCGCAGGCCAATTTTCAGTTTTCAGCGCTTTCGCACTTTGAATGACAAGACTGAAAATTTAGAAAAAAAAAGTTTTTTCTTAATTTCTGTTATCAAAATTTTGTAAATAAGTAATTTTTCTCCTTCACTGATGTGCACTAATGAGTTTGCAGTGATGGACACTTATAGGCTGCACTGATTGCCACTGACAGGCGGCGTTGATGAGGAGACACTGGTAGGTGGCATTGATGGGCATTGACAGGCATCACTTGTGGGTATTGACCGGCATCACTGATGGGCACTGAAAGACAGAACTCATATATGGCACTGATAGGCAGCACTGATTAGCATTGATAAGCGGCACTGACTGGCACTCATAGGCTGCACTGATTGGAACTGTTAGATGGCATTGATTGGAACTGTTAGGTGGTACTGATGGGCACTGATAGGCAGCATTGATGGGCACTGATAGGCGTCATTGACTGGCACTGATAGTTGGCACTGAAAGGCAGCTCTGATGGGCACTGATAAGTGGCATTGATATGTACTGATGTGCACTGGTATGGGGCATTGATGGGCACTGACAGGCGGCATTGACAGGCACTGACAGGTGGCACTGATGAAGCTACACTGATCATTAGGGCACTGATCATCAGTGCACTGATGATCAGTGTAGATGTCCCCTCTGAGGAATGCCGCTTACTGGATCTCCTCTCCTCACGCACTGTCAGCGTGAGGAGAGGACTGCCAATAACCAGCATTTCCTTGTTGACATGTGATCAGCTGTGATTGGACACAGCTGATCACATCACAGAGCCAACATCATTGGCTCTTTACTGTGATTGGTAATATGTTGTGTCCTGGGGACACAGGGCACCACCGATCGCCACGCACCTCCAGGGGGAGCACATGTGCTGTTAGAGTGGGAGGACGTCATATGATGTCCTCCCAGAACGAGAGAACCACCACCCATCCGTCATTTCCTTATATGGTGGGCAGGAGGCGGTTAAGAACTCAATATCTACATATATATATATGGACTCCAGTAACAGTGTTTTTACTCTTGTATAATTTATATCATTGCTTGTGCACACATGTCCTCTACCTCTTTTTTGTGCCAGAATTTATATTATTGTTTACTTATAACTGAGGTTGGATATGGCTTAAATAAGACTCCAAAACTGAAAAAGGTAGAGAAAGGTAAATAGCAATACATTGGAATACACTTTCTAATCTAGAACCATTCATTTGATCCCCAGTACATCCAATACTGATCTTTTAGCCCTTATAAAATAAGTAAAGTAAATGTAAACCCAACACCCGGGTGCTGTAAAGCACATGCCAGTTTCCTTCATTGTTAAACCCACCGCTTTCATTTAAATATTAAGTGGTGATTCTGCCATTAAAAGGTTTTGTTCAGGCACTTTCTGTTAGTGGGAAATATCATTTTATCCCTGTCTCCCAATGGTGCATCAGTCGCACTGGGGTTTATTTACTCACCACTTGCCTACAGGGCACTTATACCCCCTTTCTGCCCAGGACAATTTCCAGCTTTCAGCGCTGTCACACTTTAAATGACAATTGCGCGGTCATACAACACTGCACCCATATGAAATTTTTATCATTTTTTTGTGACAGATAGAGCTTTATTTTGGTGGTATTTAATCACCTCTGGGTTTTTTATTTTCTCTTAAACAAACCAAAAACCACTGAAAATTTTTAAAAAAATGTTTTTTCTTAGTTTTTGTTATAAAATTTTGTAAATAAGTGATTTTTCTCCTTCACTGATGTGCGCTAATGAGGCTGCACTGATGGGCACTGATAGGCTGCACTGATGGACACTGATAGGTGGCACTGATGAGGAGGCATTGGTAGGTGGCACTAATGGGCATTGACAGGCATCACTGATGGGCACTGAAAGGCAGCACTGATACATGGCACTGATATATGGCACTGATAGGCGGCACTGATTGGCACTAATAGGCGGCACTGACTGGCATTGATAGGCGGCACTGACTGGCACTGATAGGCGGCACTGACTGGCACTGTTAGGTGGCACTGACAGGCACGGATAGGCGTCACTGATGCGCACTGACTGGAACCGATAGGTGGCACTGATTGGCAGCACTGATAGGTGGCACTGATTGGCATTGATAGGTGGCACTGACTGGCACTGATGGGTGACACTGAAAGGCAGCTCAGATGGGCACTGATATGTGGCATTGATGTCCACTGGTGTGCACTGATATGTGGCACTGATGGGCACTGGCACGAGGCACTGATAATCACTGACATAAGGCACTGGTGGACACTGACAGGTGGCACTGCTGGGGCTACACTGATACTGATTATCGGGGTGCACTGATCATCAGTGCCCTGATGATCAGTGTACATGTCCCCTCCGCAGAAAGCCGATTACCGGCTCTCCTCTCCTCTCGAGCTGTCAGTGTGACAGCTCGAGAGGAGAGAAATGCTGATAACCGGCATTTCCCTGTTTACATGTGATCAGCTGTGATTGGACACAGCTGATCACATGACCGAGCCGACATCTTCGGCTCTTTCCATGATCGGTGATCAGCTGTGTCTGAGGGACACAGCGCATCGCCGATAGCCGCGCTGCACGCTCCCTGAGCCGCACATGCGCAGTGAGACTGAGAGGACATCATATGACTTCCTCCCAGAACAAGAGAACCGCCTTGCGCCCGTCATATTACTATATGGCGGGCGGGAGGTGGCTAAAGCTGGAGAGTGTAAAATCAAGCTCTCTTCTACATAGAAACAAATTAGCTTCTAACCTCAGCTTGTTCAATTAACATTTGGCCATAAAACCTGGAAGCTGATTTCTATGCAGAAGTGATCTTGATTTTGCACTTTTGTGCTTTTGACTACAAGTGGCTATTTCAAAACATATTACACAGACATGATCCATTGTTGTCGCCATCAGGAAATTTGCCCTGAGAAATGTTGTTCAGCTATTGCTGGCAGGGCCATCTTTAATATTGATTGGACCCTGGGCAAACATTTTCTTGGTGTCCCCCCCATGTACCCCCTATATTACACAGGTCACCTCTCCCCCACCATTACACATGATCCCTCCCCCATACTTCCCCATCGTTACACATAACCCCTCCCCCCATACTACCCACCATTATTACACAGGATTCCCACCGAACATCATTACACTCCTCCCCTCCCACATTTTACCCCCATAATTACACAAGACCCCCTCCTCCATACTACCCCATCATTACAGAGAACCCTCCCCTGTTCCTCCCCCTTCCTCTTATTTTTACAGGACCCCATCCCCTATACTACCCCCATCATTACACAGGACCCAGTGGGTGGAGAGGCAGGGAATGGGGTTGTCATTGAGGGTTCAGAGGCAGGGAGGGGGGTTATTGTTGAGGGTGGAGAGGCAGGGAATGGGTCTGTCACTGAGAGTGCAGAGGCAGGAAGGGGGATTATTTTTGAGGATGGAGAGGCAGGGAATGGGGCTGTCACTGAGGGTGGAGAGGTGGGAGGGAGGTTATTGTTGAGGATAGAGAGGCGGGGAGGGGGGTTATTGCTGAGGGTGGAGAGGCGGGGAGAGGGTTGTTGTTGAGGTTGGAGAAGCGGGGAGGGGGTTATTGTTGAGGAGGTGGAGAGCTGGCGGTCGGTCAGTCCTGGTTGCCAATAAACTTCACAAGAATCCCTACTCCATATTCTGCTATGGAGCAATGGCTGGGAAATGCAGGAAGGGAAGGGGGGGTATTTGGGGTTTGGGAACGTGGAACCCCACAGCTGCCAATTCCTGTCCTGCACTACTACACCCAGCAGCCCCCTCCCTCCCCCCTCTGAGGATTTCTGCAGGAAAGTTGTTAGAGGTGGGGGGTGCGGAGCCAGGCTTAGTGAAGGACACATAGTCATCGAGGGACACACACCACTCACCTGGCAGAATGGAGTCAACAGGTGTCACTCTGTCTGGTTGGGCTGTAGTGATATAAAGCTCACCAGGGGCAAATAAACTTCCAATATTGTAGTATTTGTTAAAAATCTATAGAATTAGCATCAAGTGTAACAAAGAAACGTCAGCTTCATAGATGGCCGCTACCGACCCGGAATCACGCAGCAACACTGTAAACTCCTCCCCCCGACCAGACAGAGTGACACCTGTTGACACATTCATTTTCCAGCCATGCGCACCTTTGGAATTTCTGTTTAAACACAGGGTCGTTCATACTGTTGTAGTGGCAGCCATAATTTCTGGTCAGTTTTTAATTCACAGGGACACAGTGAGGGCATTTGTGATTCATTTTGCTCCAAGCAAGAGCACCTTATGGTGGTGGATGAACATTGTAAAGTTTTTTCACTGAATTTTTTATTTTATGGATGTTTAATATATTTTGTTTTTTGCTATATGTTCTTTGATTTTATGTTTTATTAGTGACACTATTTCATGATTGGCGCTACACTTCTATTTTATGTACATTGATTTAGGTTGAGTATACTACCTATTGGTGTCAGCTGTCTTACACTTTCAAAATCAGCATGGATATAGTTTGTTTTATTACAAATGGTATTGAAAACATCTACACAAGCTCTCTGCTAAACAATGAGAGCTTACATACTATTGTATTTTGGGCTAAAGTCATTTGGTAGTTAAATACTTCTATTGTGTTTTCAGGTATACTGATTATACAAACAGTATATCTGGTCTCCCACAGTACACAGAACATGGAGATGCAATTATTTTAGTAAATAATATAAATGGCTAAATATCTTTTCTCATCAGCAGTAAGAGCAGTCTTGTGACTTCAGCAGTGCACTGGTTAAAGCTTGTAGGAGTAGTTTTCTTTCTGCTGTAGGAAGATATGAAAGTATCTTCTCTCCCAAGAAAACAAAAACCTCTCTAGCAATACACACCAAACTGAGCATGTGCATGTGACTACAGATTCAGTCTGTATCAGGTGGTTATTTCAACAAGAGAAGGGGCAGAGAAGAAAGGATCAAACAGCCTTTTTACACAATGCAGAGGATTAACCCCTTCGGTTCCACAGCGAGTATAACAAGCATGCTTTACTGCATATACAGACTGATGTTACCATTGTGGGTTTAGTAACACTTTCAGGTAAATAATGGTCAACAATAGTGTGACCTTTTGGCATATATGATCTATGGCATGTATGATACAACAGTGCCATCTACAGGTTGAATTGGTGAATGTTATATCAGTGTAATAAGACAGAAAAGGATACGCCCATGTGGGATTGGCTACCCAAAACTTTTCAAATAAAAAGTTGTCAAGTTAAGCTTTTGGTAGGACTCTAAGATGACTTAACACTAAGGAAGATCTCCAACAGAAGAAGCAGACATTTTTGCCCAATCTCCTGCAACTGCTGTAGAGTAAGCCTGGGTCCTCATTGCCTACACAGTTCATGAATCTGCTCTAACCTGAATTAAGTGAAGTAGCCTCTTAGCATAATTCCATTGTATACAGACTTGCTAGGAAGTAGATAGCATTTTTATAATTGTAATAGTTTCTAAGTACAGCATTTTCATTTAGTAAAAGCACATTAATACGCTACAGAGGTCTAGGTTTCCTTGACTTATACCAAAAAGTAACCTTAACCACTTGCCTACAGGGCACTTATACTCCCTTCCTGCCCAGGACAATTTCCAGCTTTCAGCGCTGTCGCACTTTGAATGACAATTGCGCGGTCATGCAACACTGTACCCGTATGAACTTTTTATCATTTTTTTGTGACAGAGCTTTATTTTGGTGGTATTTAATCACCTCTGGTTTTTTTATTTTTTCTTAAACAAACCAAAAACCACTGTAAATTTTGAAAAAAAAAAAAAGTTTATTCTTAGTTTTTGTTATAAAATTTTGTAAATAAGTGATTTTTCTCCTTCACTGATGTGCGCTAATGAGGCTGCACTGATGGGCACTGATAGGCTGCACTGATGTTCAAAAAAACTCTCTAACAATTCCCAAAAGAAAATTCACACTTTAACCCTTGAAAGTACTAACACCATAAACCTTTTCTCAAACACCTTTATCCCAATACCCTAATAGTCCTCACTTCAAATATTGTCCAAAAATAAGTCCAAAATACATTGTCCAAATATTGCATGAAATATCCAATTAAATTTGCCACTCCATGTTCTGTTTTAGAAGCTAAGCCTCCCCTATTGATATGCAAATGAATCAGTTTATGAGCTCAGCAGAGGATATGATGTAACAGGAAATAGGGGGAAGGGGAAAGGACCTTGAACAACTATGTGGTGAGAGACAAAGACAGAGCTGTTTGGAGAAACAAAGTAGAACAGCTGTTCTAGAAACCTGGAAGAAGAGACAGTGTGTTGGAGGAGTTTGAGATGTTTTTCTGCAGGACTCTGAAGGAAGATCCCGGAACCATGAGAAGACTCCATTACCAGAAAGAACTAAGTTAAGTAACTTTTACTGTATGCCTATCACATGGATAGTCAGCTTGTGCATGTTTTAGGCATATTTTGTTATGATTTGTGTTTTCTGCAGTTGTATGTGCAGATTTTCTGTTTAGTAAAACCATTAATGCACTACAGAAGTCTAAGCTTCCTTGAATTTTATCACTAGAACTTTTTGATAGACCAAGCAAAACAGACAACCTCAGAGTTCACAGCAAAAGCATAAAGGGGTTCAAGTTGTACTCTGAGTAGCTCAGATCACCCTGCTCTTTCCTTCCCTCAAAGCAGCCTTCTAATTTAGTTTCATGTTCTCATTTTTTTAAGAATTGTGATCTGCGGGATGTTGGCTTTAGTGGTAAATTAGTTTTCCAAGTGAGTTCACATCAGTCCATACTTTATTTAAGGCCCTGATAGCCCACTTTTTTAATAGGCAAAAATAAAGCAAGATTCCAATATAAAATGGATTACACACACAGAGGTTCACCTTCAGCAAAGTATAAGTAAGGACAGTAACAAAAATTCCAAGCCACCTGGCTATGCTTTGTCAACACAACTGCTGCTAGTACACTGGCTTTTTCCCTGCTCACTTAGCAACAGTTTGCTGTACCTCACTGAATGGGCCTACTCATGGCCCCAACTGGGTTATCCAACACCCTAGGTTTACTAGCTCTCTCAAAAACCTCCAGACTTCCTCCAGTCTTCCTGGACTCACTAACAACTTCAGTTTTCTCCACCTCCCAGACACTCTCTTAGTGTCCCAGGCCCACCTAACTGTCCCAGATTTCCCAATCCTTTGGCAAGATTTCCCCCACACAAGGGATACAGTCTCTTATAGGCATGACCAGCTCTATTGACAAGGGTCTGTTTCCACATGGCAGCAACTGCAACTCCAACTCCAACTCCCAACTCCAGCTATAACTAGACTATCATTATAAGGGCACAACTAGTTTTCCACAAAACCTGGACTCTGGGTTGGAGATTTCTTCCCTTCCAGGGAACTTTGAACTCAAAATATCAAAATTCAGAGAAAGCAGCAAAAGCATTTTCTCCGCTGCAAACCACTCCATAAACCTGCACTCAGCAAATGTGTCCTTTTCCTGACCATTTCTAAAGTGGCAGAGCCTTGCACTGTCACAGAATATACATATAATTCAATGTTCATAGTCTGGATGACAAA